CAGAGGCAAAAGCCTGGGTCCCCAGGCTGCAGCCACAATAGCCCCAAGACAGCCCTTTCTTGGTGGGGGAAGGGACGGCTCTGCTTTCATTCCTCCTCCTGCTCCCGCTTCCTCCAGCCCTGGGCTGCAGCCGTGTCCTGTAAGCACTGGGAAACTCTATCCCTCTGCTGACCTCACCTAGAGGCTCCACCTCCACAGCTTCCATTAGCCAGGAATCACAGCCAAGGGAAGCTGTGGGGTGTGTGTGTGGAGGGGTATCTTCAGATGAATATGGGGCTGCACAGATCACACAGAGTCACCTATCCCCCTACAAACAGAAGCTTCCCTAAGTAAGCACCCTGTAACCCCAACCTCCTCTCTAGCCCTGAGTCCCTCTCACAGCCCAACTCCCTCCTGGACTCCGCACCGCAACTTCCAACCCTTACCCCACTCCTGCACCTAACTTCCCCCCAGGCCCACACCCTGTAGCATTTTGAGAATCTAGGTTAAAAAAAAATACCTCCTTTTCGTCCAATGCGACTATCCATAAACTTTTCTATTGTTTCAAATTCATCTTCTTCAGGTTGTGGGACGTCCTCTCCACAGACTTCCAATAAGTCATCTGAATCAGTCTTTGTTTCTTCAGCTTCTTTGTAACTAACGTTGACTGTTGCCTGGCGACGAGACCCTCTTTTATCATAATCATCATCCTCATCTTCGTCAGATGAATCAAGTTGCCTCTTTTTCTGTCCTGCATTCTTCTTCCCGCTTTTTGGCTTAATTCTTAAAAAAAACAGGAGTTGACAAAACAAAGATGTTTTCAATACAGAAATAGTCACAAATGTTCTGCCGTTTCTTACAGAGTACTAATATTTGACAGTGATTGTTCAACTCAACTATATTGAACTCTAATACAAGGAAACATTCACTATGGGTACGTCTAGACTACATGCCTCTGGCGACAGAGGCATGTAGATTAGGCTACCCGGCATAGGAAAATTCATCCCCGGAGGCATACCTGGGAGGTCGACAAATGCCTTTGATGTCGACCTCGGAGCGTCCAGACTACCACGCTGAGCCGACAAACAGCTGATCGGCTCAGCGCGGCAGCCATTTAAATTTAAATGAAGCGGCGATTATCTACATCGCCACTTCATTTTCCTATGCCGGGTAGCCTAATCTACATGCCTCTGTCGCCAAAGGCATGTAGTCTAGATGTACCTTATGACTTACTGCTATGATTACATCTTTTGTAACTTTAAAAATCAACTTCCTCTCTAGGGATACAGAATTCTATGAATAGTTACATTTTGATTTTAGCTTAGGGAGAAAGAGAAGACATTCCGATTCTCATCAGAAACCTTACCATAAAGTATCTTAAATTCCATAATTCTTACCTGATTGGAGGTTTCCTGCTTTTCACTTTATTTTTTGGCTCATAATCAGATTCACTCTCTTCACAACTGCTTTTCTCTCTATCTTCCTCTGATTCAGAATCTGAACCAGTCCCAGAGACAGATCCTGATCCTGACATTTGCCAGTCTTCACTGCATATAACGAAAGGCAGAAATGTTAAGAATTAGAATATTCAGCACTACAGTTAAGCCATGTACACAAACACCGGAAACCAGAATAATCCTTCTATGGCTCCCACCCACTGGACCTGCCCCAGCTGGGGAACATACATCCCTTCCCAGGCTGTGGACATGGAGAAGAGTTTCTCACCTGACTCCAAGCTGCTGCAGTGAGAGAGGGCTAGGGTAGTCCTCACTCCCCAGAGCAGCCTGCATAATGAGCCCTTCAGCCATGTCACATACATTTTCAATTTATTTTCCAAAAAACAAAAATTAATTGAGTTAAAGACCTGAGCAACATCATGTAAATCTTCTAGTATATAGATAATGTACAGTCATTCCCTGGGATACAACTCATACATTTCAGTGTAGATTCTATAAAGCATTGCTGGAGGTACTTTTGAATAGACATGATCAATACAAGCGTACCTGATACAGGGTATTTTACTAACTAGGAATGCGAAGTCCTGTTTTACATAAATTGCATATGAACATCTATATTAGAAAATATCCCAACAGTCTAGTCAAAATTGAAAAGCAACAAAAACATGTCCTCATACATTTCAGTGTAGATTCTATAAAGCATTGCTGGAGGTACTTTTGAATAGACATGATCAATACAAGCGTACCTGATACAGGGTATTTTACTAACTAGGAATGCGAAGTCCTGTTTTACATAAATTGCATATGAACATCTATATTAGAAAATATCCCAACAGTCTAGTCAAAATTGAAAAGCAACAAAAACATGTCCAAAAAACCTGAAGTCCAAATAGAACTGAAATACTTTTATATATTAGATTAAATATACATAAATACTAAAATATGCAAGTACAAAGGAAACTTTTATGTAGTATTCTTATATGTAAAATATCCTACTCTTTATGTTTTTTCCTCTTGTTCTCACTGGATGATTCATCCACAGTGTCTTCGCTACTAGAAGAATCCTGCCACGAAAGTGAAGAATGTACAGAATTTGTTATCAAATATTAAAACAGCAATACAATTGTTAGCAATCTGGGCTTCCATTCTTGAACTAGCATACATTTATTTTCATGTTTGATTTCCTGTCTCTTTCAATACACAACAATGCACTGAATATGAGAAAGGTTTCCAAATTTTAGTATTCAAAATCTATCACAATTGTTTGTCCATATATAAGGCTCTACTAGAATATCTTTTTAAAAAGTATTGTGCCTGCATGCAGTATATTTTTAAAACAGTCATAAGCTAGTTACATTCAGGCCCTAGAACAGTTTAAAATGTTTCTTAAGAATGTCAAAGAAAAAAAATCTTACCTACCTTTCATAATTGTTGTTCTTCAAGATGCATTGCTCATATCCATTGCATTCTAGGTTTGTGTGCAACGATATGCACAGTTGTGGATATTTTTGCTTTAGCAGTATCCACAGGGTTGGCAGCAATGTCATCTTTAGTGAGACACTCATGTACTAGTATAAGACACTGCTGACCCTACACCCTCTCTTTTCTTCTTGCCGGCAACTCTGACAGGGGCAATGAAGACAGGTAATGAAATGGACATGAGCAACACCATCTTGAAGACCAACAGTTACAAAAGACAGTTATAACTGTTTTTTCTTCTTCAAGTGCTTGCTTGTATTGATTCCACTCTAGGTGACTCACAAGCAATGCCAATAAAAGTGGTCTCAGAGTTCATGGTCCTGCAGCTTGCAGCATTGCCCTGCTGAAGCCAACATCATCCTGGGATTGCTGTGCAGACAAACAACCAGGTAGCAGCTCTATAGACCTATTGGATTTGCGCTAGAGCCAAGAAAGCTGTTGATGACACTTAAGAACCTGACCGTCACCATTAGCCAGCTCGTAGCAGTATCAGATGCAGGCTGTGATCCAGGACTAAATTATTTGAGTGTCTGCCACTGTCACGAACAGCTGCATTGACCTGCATAATGGCTTTGTCCTGTCAACCTAGAAGACCAGTGTCCTTCTCATGTCCAGAGTGTATAATCTATGCTCCTTTTCAGATTTATTGTGCTTCAAAAGAACAAGTTAAAAAAAACATCCTGGCCAGCATGAAACTGGAAAACTACCTAGGTAGTAATGCCAAGTGTGGCCACAACTGGACTTTTTCTTTGTAGAACACTGTATACGGTGGTTCTGATGTAAACACTCTGATCTCAGACACCCTGAAAGCAGATGTAACCGCTACCAGGATCTAAATCCTCCAGAAGAGGAGAAGAAAGCAGAAAGCTAACGGTTTTAAGGGAGCCCCATAAGTCTTGACAGCATGAAATTTAAATCCCAGAGGGAGGCAGGGTCCCAGACATGAGGATGAAGATCTCCAGGCCTTTTGAGAATCATACTGTCATATAGTGAGCGAAGACTGACCTGCCCTGGAACAGAGGTTGGAAAGCCAAAACAGAAGCCAGGTGGACTCTGATCAAGGACAAGGACAAGCCCTGAAGTTTGAGGTGCAGAAGAAACCTGCAATGAGATCTGCTCAGCTCAGATGCAATATTCCATAGCCCAACATGTGAACCTTTTCCACTTTACCAAGTAAGTCATTTTGATTGAGGAATTTCTGCTATCCAGCAAGACCTGTTGTACCCAGTCTTTCACTCTTCTGTATTCAGCCAGTCATTAGCCATTCTCACAAGTGCAATACCTCCAAGTTTGGGTGCAAGAGATTGTCGTGATCCTAGGATAGCAGGTCCAGAGAGGGAGCCGTCTGGGACAGCTACTGAAAGATATCAGGATAACCCTTGCCCAGTACGTTTGGTCTTCACAAGGACTTTATGCATCAACAGCATGGGTGGAAGGCCCCACAAGGACCCCAGAGCTTGGGAACAAGGAAGCATCTGACAGGGAACCTTCGTCCATCCCACAGAGTCAACATAACATGTAGCATTTCCTGCTCTGATGGGATGCAGACAAGTCCACCTTGGGAAATGGGGAACTCCCCAAGATCATACTGGGTGCCTCACAGCAACCTCTTGTAGAGAGACAAGAAGGTCCTGCAGAGGCAATCTTCTAGCACATTTCTGGTCTCTGGCAGATGCATGGCTACCAGATGAACTAGAGATGTAAGCGAGTACTTGACTACTCAATAAGTCTATGCTTTACTCGCTCTCTACCCTGCTACCTTTCATACAGAAGCCAGTACTGGGGGGAGCTGCAGGATAGCAAGGAGCTGACACCACCCCACTGCAGGCAGAGGCCGCTGCCACAAAACAGCCTCTGTTCGTGACAGCCTGAGCTTTCCGTGAGCCAGGACCAATCAGTCCCAGTTTGCGCCAGCTCCGGGACCACTGCGCCTCTGCATTTTAAGAGTAGTAAGAACCACCATGGGGTAGCTTCCAGAACCAGCGCGAGCTGGGACTGTGCAAGCCAGGACTTTGAGTGGCAGACACTCAAAGAATGTAGTCCTCGTCTGCATAAGTATAGCGGTCCCAGAGCCAGCGTGAGCTGGGACTGTTCAATCTCAACTCATCAGCTTTGGGAGCTACCCTCACTGCAGCTCTTCAGAGCTCCTCCCCTTATTGACAAATTGTGTAATTGATACAAAATGATTAGCAAAATACTTGTTCCTTAAAATCCTTAAGATGAACACCAAGCCACACAAAGCAGTCCTGAAGATGAACAACTTCTTGGCAAAGGGCTGACGAACTGGCTCCGCCTTGCTTGCTGATGTAACACATATTGTTGTTGAGGACTTGAACCACATTTTCCCTAAGGTGGGACAAGAATGCCTTGCAGGCCAGACAAACCTTAGCTTCCTGATGAGATCCATCCTGCAAACAGTGACCTTGAGTGCTGAGCTCATCACTATGGGCTCCCTAGCCCAGGTCTGAAGCATCTGAGACCAAGGTCGGGAACAGGGCCATGAATGGAATATCCTTCAATGCCAACCAAAGGTTCAACCACAATTAAAATACCAGCAGAGCTCCGGAATCGGTGCTGGGGGAAGGGACTGGAAATATGATGAGGAGAGGTCCGACAAGGCAGGCCACTGGGACCTGCATCAAGAGGACAACTGACAGGAGGGCAAACAGCACTGGCAGTACAGTGATCAGCATCTCCCTCAGGATAATCCATGACTGCAGTGCCAGTGACTGAGGGTGAACCTGAGAGGGTTTGGGCTGCAACTTGAGTGATCTGACGTGTGGAGGTGGAGAGCACTGCTTCATCTTGGGGGAATCTGTGGAGCACCACTACCCCATGACCAGCAAGCTTAGTCTCAGAGAGCCTTTCCCAGTTTTTGAGGCATGTGAAGAAGTCTTTGATCTCTCGGCTTGTGAAGGCATTGGTACTTTCAGGAGTTTAGGTCCCATGTTGCTCCTGGGAGTGGGTGGTTAACCTATCAAGTTGCTAAAGGAAACCTCAAATGCGTGGCTTTGGAGTAGCTGGGCAGCCCTAAGTGGTTCTCATTGCCCAATAACCCAAGGCCTTTATTGTTTGATGGTAGGGAGCCATGCTTCCTAGCCTTTCTTTTAGGCACCAGCAATGGGGCAAGATGCCAAGCAGAACCCAGTACTGAAGGTACACCGACTCCAAGGTGTTTAGTGAGTGCTGGTGAGACAACACAGAAGTTATATGAAGGGCAGATTCCATGAGGAGAGCTCATAACTGAATATCCCCATTTGGGTGTGCAGGGTGAAAAGCTTTTACAAATATGGCACTTGTCTTTCGTGTGATTTCCTGCAGGCACTTTAGGTAGTTGCTATGGGGGAGGGGGGAATCACTTGCAGAAACAGGCCCACTGAACTCCATGCAGGCCTTAAACCCAGGACACCAGCGCATACTCCACCTGGGGCAAAGTCCAGGCTGGGACTTTAACAGCTAACTACACTTAACAACTACTTAACACAAATTGCTATAAACAAACTAATTACAAGGCCCTAAGGCTTGACATCAGTAAGACAAAGAGTAAGTCTACACTGCATTCCTCTTTCGAGAGAAGAATGCAAATGCAGCGAAGCGAAATTGCAAACGAAGCGCGGATTTGAATTTCCCGTGCTTCACTTGCATAATTGCGTCCAGCCGCTATTTCGAAATACCTTATTTCGAAATAAAAAACGCTGTCTAGACGCGGTTATTTCGAAAGAAAACCCTTCTTTCAATAACCCTTAAACCTCACTTTATAACCCTTAACCATTTTTTCAAAATAACCCTTAAAACTCATTATATAAACCATATCAACATGAAAAACTTTAAAAAACCAACAAATAGTCTGGTGGCACTTTAAAGACTAACAAAACATGAAGGTGGTATCATGAGCTTTTGTGGGCACAGTCCACTTCTTCAGATTCTGAAACAATAGATATCCTAGCAATAGTTATAAGTTAATATTTTCAATATGTTTACATAGAAAATCCTAATTTACATTTAACATAGAACTGAATAAATAGTTTTAAAAAAACACAACTGTATCATATAAAAACATAAGTTCATGGTAATAGAAGAAAATGTAGAATTTATGAGAGAAGATACTTCTGACCATACTGTTTAATTATTCCCTAGAAGTGAAGAGATGTTCACATACTTTTTTGCTTATCAGATAACTTTTACCCTCTCAACCTCAATAACATGTGTTTGCATCCTAGATTCAACTAAGATCAACTGATCAGAACTATTTTGTATTTGAAAAATTCAAAAATCATTACAAGAAAAGGAATCCTTGAAAGAGACTAGAAGTGAGTTCTCAAACTTTTTTTTTTTTAAATTATGTGGACCACATCTTCACAAAGACTGTCATATAGCCCTTCCATTCACTAATGTATGACATACTTTTAGAAACCACAGCAATTGCTTATATAAAAAAGTAATATTTGGAAAGTATCTTTATGCATATAAGTAATTTAGAAGCTGGAAACACAGAAGAGGGCCAGGAATAAGTGACTTGCGAGTATATGGACTGTAATTTGGTAGTATCTGGTTAAAGCTCTTTCTAGGAAGGGTAATTTCTGCATTACTTAACCCAAATATGTGAAATTAAAAATGATTCAACATTTCTCCACAAGAGCCACATTCTCTTTTGAGATTATGTACATAATGCTTATTGTCTTCAGATTGTTACATTTACATAGAGAATGAGTAATTATATCTATGCTTATATTTAAAACGATGACTCAAATTGAGCTATTCACCTCTTCTGACCCACTGTTTGATGAGGCTGCTTTCTGCTGTTGTTGTTGCTGCTTCCTGAGCATTGCTGATCTCTGTACAGCCAAAATACTTGGATTTGATCTCCAAAACTGAAACAGGATTCAAATAGAAGAGTCATGCAGTCAAATACTGTGAAATGTTACAATAATTTAATACAGCCAAATTCCCTAACTGAAGTTTTGCTACTAAAATTAGCTGGTTTTAATATTATTGAAATTGACGAATTATTCAAATGTATTCAATTTGAAGAATTAAGAGAATGTTACAATTTGTTATAATATTTTAATGCAAAATGTAGCATGTTTTACAGGACAATGAAGTAGTAACTATTATGGAGATTGAACCTCTGTCATCTGGGACTCTCTGGTCCAGCAACTCTATGGTCTGGAAGAACCACAGATGTTGTGGGACGAGAGTGCTCCAGAGGCAGAGGTTGCTAGCGAGTTGGAGTGCACATGGAAGGCAACAAAGCCTGCAGCCAGAGGGACAGGGAAGCCGTGGGAGGGAGGCAGAGCTCACGGGGCAGCAGAGGCTGCAGCCAGTGGGGATCTCGTGAGCTCCGGCAGGGTGGTGCTGTAGCTGTGAGCTCCAATGGGGCCAAATCAAGCTCCAACAAGGCCAGGCAACTGGGGAGAGTAACCCAGCGGGGAAGCTGGCATCTCCCCTCTCCCAGACCTCATCTGGTCCACCAAACTCCCTTATCCCGTTAGGTCCCAAGGGTGCCAAGCCAGGGAGGTCCAACTTATATTAACACAAATACATATGCTATAGCACTGTATTGCTAATACATTACAATCTGTTATAACCCAAATAATTCCAAAAGGAATGTAGTTAATACAATTAAGGAAGCATTGCAACATCTTGAAAAATGAATAAAAAAGTAAAACTGAGTTTTAAGCAGAATTATGTAAATTAATACCATAATTATTATACTTTATTTCATCCAAGAGGAATAATATTTTACAAACTTTATATATTACACACAACAGCAGCTAGAGCAATTTTGAGGTTTTTACACCCCGTTGGATATACTTAGAAACAATTTTCTAAACAATTTAGATTTTCTTCTGAAATTTTGCATTCTTTTTCCTCATAGAAGACTAACCATATGGAAATTTGAAGTTTTCCTGGTAACAGCAAACTAACGTATACAGACATGATTTTCAAAAATAAAGGTAAGAATAGATTTAGTAGAGTAGGTGCTGAAATAAAGGATCTGATCTTTAAAAGTGCGCTAGCAGTCTACAATTGATAGGTGTAGCTGGGTGCGCAACACTTTAGAAGTCAGGCTATTTAATTTAGGTACCCGGGAATTTAATAGCATAATTTCATGTATCCCCATTTCTGAAAATCTTGCCCTTAATAAATTCCATGATATTCCTATCCATGATACACAGATATTTTACTAATCAATAAAAGCTCAAATCTTTACAGTTTAACAATTCCTTCATCCCTAGATCTTATCTATAGCCTATAAATAGTGAAAATAGCTATAGGAGAAAACCACACAAAGTCTAATACCTTTTATGAGAACATTTATTTGTTCATTTTACCTCAGCTCCACCAACTTTAGGTGGTTTTGCTTGAACTTGTTTCTTCTCTCTAGATGTGTCTGATTCTGATTCTGACTGACTTCCTGACTCTGAACCAGAGTCCGAGTCGCTGCTACCTGACTGGCTGCTACTTCCATCGCTACTGCTTCCAGAACTTGAACCAGATCCAGAACCTGATGCTGAACCAGAATCGTCATCCGATTGGCTGTAATTAAAAGAATATTATGCAGCATTTTGAGTAGCAGAAAAAAGTAAAGTTTGAAATAATTTGACTTCACCTGTACGTTGTGAAATTAGTCAAGTACGTATATAATAGCCTATTCTTACAAATGGATGCAGTGTATTGTTTAAGGCTTCTGTGCTGTGATAACTTGGAGTACTTCACAAGGTGGGTCAATTAATAACATTTCCATTGACATATCCCCTGCAGCCCACAGCTTCAAAGAGAAAAATTATTAATTGATTAAATGTCCACTTTTATATTCATATAAAGATAAGGACAAAACAAACATGCTTCACTGATCTTTATAAATAGGGCCAAATTCAAGGTAAGAGGAAAATGTACAGCTGTCATCTTGCTATTGTGCAAGTCCTACACTCAACTTCCATGAAGTTCACATTTAGGATAGGTAATACTAGCTTTCTTGTCTGGTGTAGGTTGTACTACAATTTCCAGGCTTGCGGATAAATAACAGCTGATACACAATGCAAGGGACTAAGATGGGGAAAAAAAAGGGTCAGAGATAGCCCCTCCTCCTTCCAAATAGCCAGACAACAGGAAAAGAAGAAAGAGGCCTGAAAAAATTCAGAGCGATTAGCCAAGCTTTGTATAAATTTGTACTTCAAGTAAGGACCAGGGACAGCACTCTTACACAGGACAGATCATCCATAATCAGAGTACACAGTCCATGCAGGCATAATGAGTGTGAAAGACAAAGTCACTACCATCTAAACCACTTACTGAAATTAAATACATGTTATTTAAAACAAACACCAACCATCACTCTCAAGTGAGAAGGAACAATACAAATAATCTAAAGCAGCAAAGAGGTCTTTCAACAAAATCAGGATAGATCAGATCATCTGTCCTATACTTTTAAAGAAAAATGGGAAAAAAAACCTGAAAAAAAAAAACCTGAAGAAAAAGCTTCAAAACTTTAAAAAACCCACACAATTTCAGCTCCTCTTTATACTGTATAGAGGAACCAAAACAGGACAAAACATCAATTTAAACAAAATCCTTTGTAATGTCATATTTTACACCTTGTGTTATAAATCTGGACCTATAGATATAAACAAAGAGAGGGTTATCAGGAAGGGTTATAAGGATTCTATTCCTAATAGCTCACCTACACAGGTGGTGATACTAAGGATAAGAGGTGAATAATTGACTAATTGTGTAGTTAATACAATTTGTATTGGCTACATGATTAGTCAATAAGGGAAAGCCCTCTGTCCCAGATCATGCTGTTTCAGGAGCTACCTCCGCTGAGATTCTGCAGTTTAAATGTAGCAGGAGCTGGGTGCGCAGGCATTATTCAGTCATTGACAAAAAGCTCTGCACTTGCTTAAATTGGTTCAAATTATTTTAAAGTTTATTATTTTATTAGTTTAAAGTTACATGTGATAACTGTTTTTTAAATCATGTTTGATGTAACTGAAAGACTGTTAAGAGGATGGATTGATTTTTGTAATTATTCGGGTTTTGATATTACCTGTTCTTTATCACGATGCTTATTTAAAATTATGCAGCTATCTTCAAGGCAGTATAGTTCCTATAACACTTTCCATAAAGATGCCTACTTAAAAATATTGGGACAGCAGGGTGACAGTAACCCATCTAGGGCAGGGTCTGAGCTCCTGGACCCAGCGCAAGCTGGAACTCAGCAGGGCTGCCTTCCCTCCCGGCTCCTAATACATTTAAACTGCAGAGGCGCAGCGGGGATAGGTCCCAGGTAGGTCCCGGACCAGCACAAGCCAGAAAAAAGCCAGGAATGCTGCTGCTCTGTATTTTAAATGTAGTAAGAGCCAGACTGGCACAAGCAATGGGGAGGGTCAGGGAGGTAGGGGAAGCTGCTGCTGCAAAGCAGCCCCTGCCCACAGCAGGCCCAGGCTCATCATGGACAAAGGCTGCTCCAGCAGCACCCGTTTATGGTGGTTGGGGTTGGCCGTGGACAGGGGCTACTGGACTCATCGCCAGCTGGGACTGAACAAGCACAGCTCAGTCCAAGCTCATGCCAGTCTGGAACCGCTATGTTTTTAAATGTAGTAAGAGCCAAGTGGCTCTTTAAATGCAGAGTCACAGCGGTCCCGGCTGTGTTTTGGCTCGCGCTGGTCCAGGACCTACGCCTGCTGCACCTCTGCAGTTTAAATGTATTAGGCCCCGGGTAGACAGACAGCCTGGCTCAGTTACAGTTTGTGCCAGGTCGAGCAGCTCAGACACTCCCCTTCCCCCAGACAGGAGCTGCTGCCACTTCATCAGAGGCAGCAGCAAAGGGCGGCAGGCAACCAGTCCACGAAGGGGAGCTGGTTTTTAAAGTGTCTCCCCTCGTGGACCATCTCCCGCAAGGCACTCCGCACTACTGCCTTTGATACAGAGGCAGCAGCGAGGAGTGGCAGGGAGCTCCTCAGGTGTGAAGGGCAGAGCACACTAGGGATGTTAAATTGCAGGTAACTGACTATTAGATTAGTTGATAGGGTGTCTTTACCTTTGAAGTGTATAAACAGCTCTAGGGCTTTTGCTACACTTTAAAGGCGAAAGCACCACGTGGAGCCCAGGATCAGCTGGGGACTCCCTGCTGACCCAGGGCTCCTTGCAGCGGTATTGCTTTAAAGCACTGCGGGAGCCCGGCATCAGCCTCCCGCCAGCGTTTCAAAGTGGCAGCACCAGGTAGCACCTGGGATAAGATGGGGAGTTCCCAGATGATCCTGGGCTTCATAGAGCACTGCCACTTTGAAGTATGCCCTTCTTCCCCACTCTTTCTGATACAGGGAGCAACTAGGGGGAGGAGGGAAGAGGAGCAACTAGTTGACGAGCTTATTGACTATCTGATAAGCATTTGCTTATCCAATAGTCGCCTAGTCTTTCACATCCCTAGGAGTGCATTGGTTGCCGAACCTATCCCCAGGAACTATAGAATAGTCAACTGAGAAGTATTCATGAGGGTACTCAACTATTCAATTAACTGATATTTAACATCCCTAATATTTTTTAAATATAACTCCCCATATTGACATTCTGAGTGCTTTTCTAAATGGGGAATTTTATTGGCATAAATCTGCCACTAAACTACTGCATAAGCACCAAGTCAACTGCCCTCCATACATATTTATGCCCCTTTTCTCTCTCTGTTCTTTAGTTAGACCACACTAGTTAGACCACATCTTTTTTAACTTCTATAAATTATTTGAACTATTGTACATAACATTTTGAAACAATTTTTTGTATGCACATATTTTGAACTATGTTCAAGATACAAACACTGTTTTCTGAAAACAATACTAAAAACCTAGAAACTGACAAATAATCAGGGCTTGACAAACGGCAGCGAAAGCTGCTTGCCAGCCCCACACTGCGCATGCGGCGCAAGAGCTGCATTGCACATGCGCGCGCTTCTGGTAAACAGGGTGCGCGGCTGAAATCTACTCGTCACAGGTGAGTAGATTCTATAGTATGCCCAGCCCAGCAAATAACAATAATATTAATCTAATACAGAAGTCCCAATATTTTTAAACAGGTATCTTTTTGGAAAGTATTATAGGAATTATACAGTCTTGAAAGTAGTTGCATAATTTTAAACAAATATCTTGATAAATAACAGGTAATACCAAAAACCTAACAATTATGAAAATCAATCAGTTGCATCAAACATGATTTAAGAAACTATTATCACATCTAATTTTAAACTCATGTTCTTTTGTCCTAAAATTATTTGGACCAATTTATGCAAGTGCAGACCCGTCTATCAATGACTGAATAATGCATTAGAGTAAGAATACAAAGTATGCAGTAACTATTTTAAAGACAACCAGTAGCTTTATATTTTCTAAAAAGACATAACAAATATCCAATTAGATTAGAGAAGAGCATGATAAGAAATTTCAGATGGGTAGCCTGTTAGTCCTACCTGGGGAACTGAAGAAACAGATTGATAGAGCCAGATGGGTATTTAATAGTCACCTACTATAGGACAGGCCCAACAAGGAAAGTTACAGAAAACCACTGCTCATCACCTACAGTCCCCCAATTAAAGCTTCTCCAGAACTTCATCAAGGACTATCCTGGAAGACAATCTCTCAGGACAATGCTCACTTACAAAAAACCCCAACCTGAAGCAAGTATTCATTAGCATATCATACAGCAGAAACACTTATCCATGAACCAATCCTTGCAACTAGCCACACTGCCAACTTTGTCCACATATCTACGCAAGTGACACGAACCGAGAACCTAGCCATATCAGCCACACCATCAAGAGTTTGTTCACCTTGCACATCTACTAATGTGATATATGTCATCATTTGCCAGCAATGCGTCTCTGCCATTGGCTAAACCAGACTGTCTCTATGCAAAAGAATAAATGGCCGCAAATCAAATGTCATGAATAGTAATGCTAAAAAACCAAGTAGGAAAGCACTTCAGTCTCCCTGGACACTAAGCAACAGACTTGCAAGTTGCCACACTTCATCCAAGAAACCCTGTAAAACCAGACTTCAACGTGATACTAGAGTGCTGCAACTCACAAGCAAATCTGACACTATCCAATTGGGTCTGTATAGAGCCTAAATGTGGCTAGCTCACTATAAAAAGCAATTTTCCCTCTTTTAGTATTCACACTTACTCAACTATTCAGAATACGGTTGTAGATGATTAACGGATTAACGGATAAGCAAAAGCTAATAGGTTAATGCTATAGACTACATCCATTCCCCCTATCCCCACCAGTACATTTTTTAGTAGGCTGGCCAGCAGTCCTGGGATTAAAGCATCAGGATTTTGGCACTCTTACCCCTGGACTATGAGTATGTGGAAGATTTGTCCTACCCCATTCCCACCAGCCTCTGGACTTCCAATCTTCTCTTCAACCAGAATATACTCTCTCAGGAAACATGTACAAAAAAATAGTGAGGCATTGGTAAATGAACCAGTGGGACAGCACCAGCATAAGCACCAACAATGTCATGAGTTCATATCAGTACTGCTAT